TGCTGACCCATGGGGTGTGATGAGTTTGTCCATCCTGAGCCAGAGGATGAGCAATGCCMCCCCTGAGGGGACCTGGAGTCACCTCTCTGCCCGTGGGAGGTCCCAAAGTGGAGGAGCCAGGGCCACCAGCTGAGCTCGAGTGTGGTTGTTTCAAAGTGTTAAAACAGGAAAAACTCTGRTTTAATGACTGCTTCAGCTTTCATGGAATATAAAAGTCTTAAAGTTAATTGAAACAAGCTGGAAATGGGATTTTTTTTTCAGAGTGAACAGAGGAAGCTGGGGGGAAAAAGGGCTTTGTGCTGTTCCCTGTGCCATTTGCTSTGCAGCCCCATTGCTTCAGGCTGGAGCTGTGTCTGCTGGCCAAGGCAGGCCCTGGCCCAGGGCTGTCACCTTTGCAAATCACTCCCAGTCCAGAGGAAAGAAAGAAAAATGTATTTATAGCTCAAAAATGCACATGAAATCAGAGTCATCGACTCAGAATAGCCTGGCTTGGAAGGGACCTCAAAGCTCATCCCATTCCACCCCCTGCCACGGGCAGARACACCTTCCACTGTCCCAGGGTGCTCCAAGCTCCATCCAGCYKGGCCTTGGRCACTTCTTTATTCCTGAGATGTGTGGGAATGGCCCCAGTTCTTTGGGGTTGCTTTCCAGAGCCCTTGGTGAACACCTGGGGAGGTGTTGCAGTGATTTTCTCCAGTYACCACTGGTGAAACGCAGTGATCTCAATGGCTGTGGGTGTGCTTGGGGTGGGACACTCTTGTGGCAGGAAAAGCACTGCAGGCACTCTCTGTTCTCCATGTTTTCCATATTATTTCCAAATTTTCAATTTTTTTTTTTCCCAGATGTATCACTTCTGTTTTCCAAAGCAGTTTGAACCCACAGCTTTCCAGAAGCAGCAGTGCTGGTCCCTGCTCTCTCCCGCACCTGGCCCACCCTGCTCGGTCTGGATGGTGCCTCATGGCATGGCCATGACCTTCCAAACCAGTTTTTTTGTTTGTTTTTTTTTTAGCTTTTACCTCTGTTTTACTGTTTTAATGAAGTAGGGATGGAGCTCAGCAGGAGGAGAAAGAAGCAGCAGATTTAATTTGGGTTTTAGGAGTGGTCATCTGATGCACCACCCCATGAACAGCTTCAAAATGAGGAATTAGATAAAAATCCTCTCACACAGAGCACTCCCCTCATTTACCTTGGTCTATTTATAAACTGTTTGGAAGGGTCACCATAACCCAGGCAGGATGCGGCGTTGCTGCGGGGGACATTCCCCAGCCCAGGATAAACTGTTTGGGTTATTTAGGATGTGTTAAAGCTGCTCACACAGGCTGGAAATGTTTGCTAAGAGTGAGATTGGGAAGAGTGAGGGGTCTGCCTTGATGGCCCCAGGAATGCATCCAGGGAATGAATTGACACTGGATTTAGGATTCAGGAGGGACCCCAGGGAGCAGCAGCAGCAATTCAGGGCAGATCAACCCAAGGGGGTGATGTAAAAGGGAAAAAAAAAAAACCTACCAGCCGAATCCTGAGCTGATGTAGCCATTGCAAAAGGGCAAATCCATGCTTTGAAAAAGGACTTTTGGGGCTGGGAATGACCCTGCASGGCTGGATTCTGCACCCCTGCCAGGGGCTGCTGGCCCTGTCCACCATGTATCAGATTATTTTGATACTCTTTTATTCCTCCCTTTTTGGAGCTGCAGGAGAGGCTGGCTGCAAGGTTCCTTGATTCCTTTGGGGCTCCTTGGGGGTTTCTGTGTCCTCACCCCAGCCCCATTTCCCCTACTCCCCTTGCAGCCTCTCAATTTAATCCAGGGCTCCCTTCCCGCTCCAGGCTTTACCTCCCTGGGCCATATTTCTCATCTTTACTTCTATTTTCCCAATGGCTCCAAGCCTGTAACCTCTTCTTTTAATTTATTTTTTACCAGCTTTTCTCTGTTTTGCAGAATTTCTCTGGGCCAGGCCAGTGCTGCAGGTGTGGCACACTCTATCCTGGAACTCCTGGGGTTCACCCTGGACCTGTTCTGGGCTCTGAGCACCCCACACCTTCCCCAGAGGGAGCCTGGGTGGTTCATTCACCTCCTGGTTTGTCAGGGTGGGGTTTGCCTGTGTCTGGGATGCAGCTGCTGCTCCTCAGCCCTGCAAGTGTTCTGGCTAAACAGGCACTGTGCCAAAAAGTGGAGGAAAAACCCTAAAATTGTCACATGAGTTGGTGCCCTGTGAGCTCTAGAGGTGCCTCCTGGTGGGTACCAAACCCASGGGTGCCCCAACCAGTGGGCACCAGTCAGAGATTGGGACCCAAACCTCGGCTCAGGGTCACTGTCCCCTGGCCCCAGGACGTTCTCTGCCCTCTCTCCGGGTGGGAGAGGCTGTGTTTGTGCAGGATTTGCATCTGTGGCCGCAGGAAGGGCCGTGGCACCGCTCGCCCCCAGCTGGCCCTGAGCCCGTTTCCTCCCCGTGGGGCCCGGACAGGGGGGCCCCGCCCCGGCCACACCCACAGGGACATGGGGACAGGGCTGGGGGACAGAGCTGATCCCAGTGAACCCACAGGGACATGGGGACAGGGCTGGGGGACAGAGCTGATCCCAGTGAACCCACAGGGACATGGGGACAGGGCTGGGGGACAGAGCTGATCCAGTGACCCCACAGGGACATGGGGAGACAGGGCTGGGGGGACAGAGCTGATCCAGTGACCCCACAGGGACATGGGGACAGGCTGGGGGACAGAGCTGATCCCAGTGCCCCCACAGGGACATGGGGACAGGGCTGGGGGACAGAGCTGATCCCAGTGAACCCACAGGGATATGGGGACAGGGCTGGGGGGACAGAGCTGATCCCAGTGCCCCCCACAGGGACACAGCCCCAGTGCTGTACAGACCCCAACTCACTGCCCAAAGCACAGCCACGGCCTCCCATGGCACAGCCCCCCATTGCACTGCCCTGATTCCCCCATGGCCCCCCAAGGCACAGCCCCCTCATCCCTCAATGTGCTGCCCCCCATGGCACTGCCCCATGCAGCCCCCACCCCACTGCAGTGACCCCCATGTACAGCCCCCCACAGTTACACCGCCTCTGTGCCTGCAGGTGCCCCCCAATGTCTCCCCCCCCAGTTTGGGGCTGGAGGACCCCAAAGGCCCGGGGGAGGGGGRACACAGCCCTCACACCAGAACCAGAGGCAGCACAAGGGGATGTTTTGGCTGGGAACACGAGCAGGGGCAGATTGCCATTGTCCTGTCCTTGTCCCCACAGGGACAGACACCTCCTGGTACCAGCGATGTCCCCGCCCTCCCCAGGTGCTCCCCTGCACTTTTTGGCAGCCACTCCAGACCGAACCTGTGATTTTGGAGCTGGCATCAACACCAGGACGGTGACCCAGCCCTGTGTCACCTGCGTGCCCCTGGTCAGGCACAGGCTGGTGGTGGCCGAGCTGCCCCTCAGATCCTCATCCCCCTGTGCCATCCAGCTCCACCAGGGAGTCCCAGGCAGATCAGTCCCATGTCCCCGCTGTCACCAGGAGCTCGTCACCCCAGGGGTGCTTTCTGCCCCCCAGCTCGGGAGGGGTTTAGAGCCCTCATTCCCAGGGCAGGCTGAGCATCTTCCACCCTCCCTGGGTTTCCTGCTGTGTTCTGGGGRTTTCCTGCCTTTCCCCCGCTCCCCCACTGCCCGTGGGGTCCTGGAATGGCTCAGACTCCTTCCCAGTTGCAGCAAAACAGTTTTGTCTGGGCTCTTGAGCCCTCGAGGGGGGTGGCTTCTCCTTGATTGTCTAATTTTCCATCTTTCAGAGTTCGGGGGGCACTGTGTTTTGGGGTTTTTTTTAATGGTTACCAACGGTGCTGCTTGGGGGAAGCTCTTCCTTCTCAAAACCCTGAATTAGCCAGAAGAGCATCTCTCCAGTGGCTGTTACCAAAACACCTGCCAGACTCGTTTGGATGGGATCTTTGCACTGGGTCAGTCCTGCCTGGCTTGCTGACCCCGAGGGCAGCTCCCAGCTGCTGAGTGTCAGCTCTAGCTGAGCTACTGCGCCTTTGTGACACAGAAATCACCRCATTTGCAAGGATTTGTTAGGCAAATCCCCCTGGCCACAGCAGAGGCACATCCAGCTGCCTGGCACGGGGCTGGGGAGACTTTGTGGGTCCAGGCTCGGGGCTGGGGGGATTTGCTCAGAGAATCCCCTCCCCTGAACTGGCGGGATGGGATCTGCTCTGTGATGTACCAAACCCCCCCCACAAATTCGGGTTTTTCCCCTTGTTTTTGGTGGTGTGCAGCTGGGCTCTCAGGGTGCTGGCTCCAGCCGAGGGTTGTCAAAAAACAGGAGCTTGAAATACCAGCGAGAGATCACTTTGAGCTTCTCTGGTTTTACCCAATGGGGGAAAAAAACCTTGGCTAGATGGTGCAAGCGCAAGTGAGAGATGAGAGGTGCCAGGGCGTTCATCAGGGATGAAAGAAAGGTGAGTGCAGGTGAGGAGGAGCCGCCGTGCTGAACTTCTGCACTGCTGGGTGTGGAAACCCCGCCGCTTCCTCCTCGGAATGCTCCGAATGGATGGAGGGGTTTTCCCCGGGGAGTTCTGGTGCTCACACCAGAATTTGGTCCCACGGCCACCGTGCAGCCTGAGCTGGCTGTCCYCATGTCCCCRTGTCCCTGTGCTGCAGGGGCAGAGCCGCGAAGGGTCCGGGAGCTTTGGGATGGCCGGGGCAGTGCAGCAGGAGCGGCGCGGAGCATCAGGGATCAGCCCACGGTCACACAAACCAGCYACTCCGGACTTGCTATTTTTTTTCCAGACTCACTTTTTTTTTTCGCGGACTCACGCTTTTCCCCCAGACTCACTGTGTTTTCTCCGYGGTTCCCCTGTCGGCAAGGGGAAGCACCCAAGCACCGCGTCAGCCCCATTAACCCCTTTTGGCAGCGTCATCTCTCTGACCTTTCTGCTGACGGTTCCGGGCTAATGACTAACCAGGGGCAGCCCGCAGGGTGGGGATGTTTAGCCCGGGCTGCGGGCTCTCGGGGCCGCGATGAGCTCACCCCGCTGCCCCGGCCGTGCTCGCTCGCACGGTGCCGCCGTGACGGCAGCGGCCGGGGACGGGGAAGCGGCCGGCAGCGGCCATCCCATGGCACGGCGAGAAGGAAGTGCCGCCCAGGGCCACTCCTCCTCACCATTTCCTCTCCGGGGCCGCTTTCTGTACGGATGAGAGTGGGGACAGAGGAGCTGCCGGCCCGTCCGAGGCCGGAGGCTGCGCTCGGCGGGCGAAGGGAAGCGCCGGTGACCGGCCCCGAGGGGACACTGCGGGTAACTGCTCTGCCATCGGCTCCCCCATCCTGTCCCCATCCCTCAGGGGTCACTTCGGCAGCCTCCAGCTCCAGCCTGGCCACCGCCTCCTGCTCGTCCCCTGTGGCTTCTCTCTGCCGAAGGCCGCCTGGCTTTTGCAGGGATGCTCCCGATGCTTTTGGATGCTTCAGCCTCTCCCCCTSCGCTTGCCGTGCTTGGCTCTGGGGCTTGGCAAAACTTGGGGCTGGGCTGGTGGGCATTAGAGGCGAACAGGCTGTCGGGGGGGGTTCGCTGGCTGTCACCGCTGTCACCCTGTGCCGTGTTTTCGGGGAGGGTGGGCGCCTGCAGCCCCCGAGCTCCGGCCGTCARTCGAACCACGTCGCTCGGTTTGTTCCCAGACGGGGCCCCCGGGCAGCYGCAGTTCGGGATGCCGGGGCTGTGCTGGCCTCTGCCGGCATCCCTGAGCTCGGCTCGCAGCCYCTGACCCCTTTATCTGCAGCTCCCACCGGTTTGACTCCCAGCTGGGGCTGGGGGGATATCAATCTCCTCTGGGATTTCCCAGCTGTTCCCTTCTCCCAGCGGTTTGCCCATCCCGAGAGGCTGAGGCTGGGCTGCAGCTCCCCACCCGGGGGTCCTTTAGCCAGGGACACGGTTCCCCGCTGCCTCTTGGGCCACCCGGGGCTTTCACCGCCCGCCCAGGGCTGTCTCCATCCCGCTCCCCTCTCCCACGCTGCTCCGGCTGCCCACACAGGCTCCTCTGTTGTGGAAACCTTGTTTTGGAGCAGCCACGGGGTGATACACGAATGCAAACACTGCAAGGGCTGAAGCAAGAAAGCTGGAGGCTTCCCAAGAGTATTTCCAAGTGCAGGCTTCCCCGCGTTTTCCAGGATCGGCACAGAGCAGCGATTAACAGTGTTTACACGAGCCCTGGGATGCTGCAGAACCAATTCCTGGCCTYTCTTTTCTGTCATTTCCACCAATTATTAAAATAAGCTGCCGAAAGTGCCTGACCCTGACCCAACACTGAATGTGCAGGGGCTGCTCTTAGGAACTTCCAGTCCCGTGTAAATACCAGCAGATATTAGGGCCTGAGTCACGGCGTTAACAGGGTTATTATATTCATGACTCGACAGATTCCTTGCTTAGGATGGGGTTCTGTCCTTCCACCCTGCCTTGCTCAGCTCATCTGGAGGGTTGGGCATCCCCTGCCAGTTGGGCTTTTGGGAAAGGGCACCTTGAGCATCCCCCAGCTGATGAGCCCTCAATCCTCACATTCCCCACGGGCCCTGGAGGGGCTTTGGGCTCTCTGCATGGACATGGCAGTGGGACAGCTAGCTCTGGACTGTGAGGAGCCAAATCCTTGTRTGCTTCAGCTGGAGCAGCACCCAGCTGTGGGCTGGCAGCATCCCTGGGGACTGTTCAGGGTGTCCAGMAGCCTCCCAGGACTTGGAGGGAGCCCATGAAAAAGATAAAGTTTGTAGCAGGTTCTGTTATGACAGGACAAGGGGGGGAGAGACTAAAACTAAACTAAAAGAGAGTGGATTTAGAGAAGATATAAGGAAGTTTCTTAGAATGAGGATGGTGAGGCCCTGSCATGGGTTGCCCAGAGTGGCTGCCCCATCCCTGGAAACATTCCAGGCCAGGCTGAATGGAGCTTGGAGCAGCCTCGTCCAGTGGAAGGTGTCCTGCCCACAGCAGGGGTTTGGAATGAGATGGACTTTGAAGGTCCATCCAACCAAAACAATTCCATGATTCTGTCATCCTTCTGCTCTCTGAAACTTTTCCTGTAAATTTCCGTCGCCTCCCTGCTGGTATTTAACCAACCCCGTCTCCTCCTGCATGGGTTTGGGGCTGAGGAATTTTCACCCTGTGTTTGTGGGGCAGTGTCTCAGGGTCTGGAGGGCTGTGTGAGCCCTGGCTGAGCTCTGGGATGTCCCTGGTCTGTGCTGCTCTGAGCTGCAGGGGCTGCTCCCCCATGGCTTTGGGGACACTTGTCCCTTTGGGGACCTTCAGGCACGGTGAGTGAGGTGATGCAGGGTGGAGGGGAGCAGGGGTGTGACTCCAGGGTGGCATGGGGACAGCTCAGGAGCCCCAGTGGCATCCCTTGGGTGGCATCCCGGCTGATGGTGGCATCCAGCCATCCTTCCTGGTGCCACTTCAAGGCCTCCTTGTGGGATCTCGTCTGGCTGGTTTTGCTTTTGCACACCAAAGCCTGAACTTTGGGTCAGGAATCAGGTCAGCAATTAGCACTGGGTGTTAATTACTGCACAGCAGTGGCAGGCACAGCAATGAGTGCTACTGCCGGCACACGGTCCCAAAATCACCTTGTGCACGGAGTGAGAGTGAAGCTCTGCATTTTGGAGGGGCCAGGAAAGGTGCAGGGTGAGGTGAGGAGGCAGAGGGAGAGGTTCTCAGTGCCCGTGGCTCCTGCACAGCCCCCGGGGTGCCCTGGGGCTCGGGGGGTGCTGGTGCCACTCTGCACAAGGGAAGTAAAACCTTCCCAGAGCGTGACTTGCTGCAGGTTGGTGGTTTCCTGCTGAGCTGCAGCGAGTTAATAACCAACTTCCAGACCTCCTTGTTCTCTCCAGAGCCGTGGTGCTTTTGGCAAGGCCCAGTGTTCATTTTTTAAGGGTGGCTGATGAAAGCGGCTTTTCCTTCCGCTGCCCGTGCCGGTGCCCTGCTCTGGCATCTGGCATTTCCTTCTRTGAAATGTTGAATGGTGTAGTTTGGGTTCTGTGAAGTTAAAGCACAGGTTGTAGGTGATAGAGGAGTTCWTCCTTCACAYTGTGYTAAACTTTTACTGTCAAACRTTGAAAAATAARTATCGTTGGAGTGTATTTGTAGAGTGTTTTCCTCGCTGGGGCTGAGAGTGTCATAGCAGCAAACTGTCCCTTGTGTCAGCACTGCTGTGGCTCAGAGGGGTCAGGAAAATGCCCTTCCACCATGGCACAGGTTCTGCCAGCACCAGCTGCGTGCCAGGCAGGGTCAGAGGCACCCTTGGGGTGGCAACACATGGAGATGGTGGTGTGTGGGGTCCTGGGCCGTGGGGCTCCATCCAACCCCGCAGAACTGTGTGTTCCCAGGGCCTTCCTTGCTGTGTCCGTGCCTCTCATCACATCCCTCTGCTGCAGCGTGGCCTCTCCTCCTCCTCATTTTCAAGTGGAGGTTTGTCAGTTCAGATGGTTCTCTCATCCCAGGATGGCCGTGTCCCTGAGCTTTTCCTGCTCCAGTCTCATGTGGCAGCCCCTGTGTCCCCCCYGCCTGCCCAGGGGTGTGGGRGGCAGGGAATGGCCATGGGGTGACAGGGCTGGGTCCTCCCCCTCAGCCACAGTCACGCTGTTCCTCTGCAGCCCCTCCGAGCCCTCCCCACCCAGGGGCAGCTCTCCCCTCAGCCCCTGCCCAGCACACCCACGGGCACAGCCAGGAAAATCCTCCCAGCCCCGGAGATGCCACCGCGGCCACCGCRGCTCCCCCAGCGCGTTCTGGCATGGCCCGAGGTGTCCGTGGGTGGGCAGCGGCTGCTCCCACAGGGTGTGGACGTGCCTGAGTGCATGTGCTGGCACAGGGGTGGGGCTCTGTGCCTTCCTGAAGTTTGGCAGGTGTAGGGAAAGAGGATGGACAGCTCTGGTTGAGGGTCTGGCCAGTCTGTCCGGCTGTCCTGSCTCCTGCTCACAGCAGAACTTCCASCTTTGGCGCCAGCCRGCTCTGACCTTCCCTTCTGCATCTGAAGGCTGGGTTGGGTTTGYGTTACACATCAATTTGAATTAATTAACACCCAATTTCATTTGTAGTTTTGCACATGTGGCCTGTCTCCCAGACAGCTCAGGTCTGAAGGTCTCTGCCAYCCTGCCATTGCTGGTTGCTGCTGTTTCTGCCCATTGGAATTCTGCTGTCCCTGGTTGCTTCCTGATGTTAGGATGGTTGATTTTACTCAGTCCTTTTCTTTTTTAGAAAGAAGATGATGTGAATGGGCTCTAAGAACCAGAYGAGATGGATGARGAGCTGCCCTGCTCCRAGGTGGATGGAAAAAGYGTCCTCAGGGATCTGGGAGTGAAGATGTCCTGCRTGGAGAGCAATCCCACAGGAGACACATGTGGAGCAGAGAAGGATGCAGGAGAGGTGCCCTGTGCTGAGATGAGCACAAAGGAAGGGGCTGCTTGTGACCCCAGAATTGTCTTCACTGAGGGCAGCATGGAAGGAGAGACGCTGGGTACTGGCAGTGACGGGGAAGGGGAGATCCCTGGCACTGGGAGCCATGGGGAAGGGAAGATTCCTGCCTCTGGCAGTGATGAGGAAGGGAGGATTCCTGCCATTGGCAGTGGTGGGGAAGGAGAGATTTCCAGAACTGGCATTGATGGGAAAGAGGATATTCTCAGAACTGACAGTGATGGGGAAGGGAAGATTCCTGGCACTGGCAGTGATGGGAGAGGGGAGATCCCTGGCAGTGGCAGTGACAGGGAAGAGGACATTCCCAGCACTGGCAGCAATTGGGAAGAGGAGATCCCTGGCACTGGCAGTGGTGGGGAACAGGAGATTCCTGTCACTGATAGTGATGGGGAAGAGGAGATCCCTGGCACTGGCAGTGATGAGGAACAGGAGATTCCCATCTCCGATAGCGATGGGGAAGGGGAAATGCTCTGTGATGCAAAAGAAGAGGCGTCTTGCTCCGAGAGTGATGTGGAGGAAGTGCCAGATGCTGTAATCCCTGCTGCTTCCAAGAAAATAACTTCCATTTCCTCTCCCCTGCGGGCCATCGTCCGCCTGCGCCGGCGCTACCAGGGGCTSAAGAAGAGCCGCCTGCACTTAGAGCTCCCTCGGGAGAAACCTGCTGAGTTTGTCCACACCAGGCTGCTCCAAAGGCAGCTGTCCCTGAGCAGAACTGCCCTGTACAACCCTTCCATGTCMTTCTTTAATCAGTCTGGCTTTGAGAGCTCCCAGTACTTCACCTTTGACACATCTGTGGAACATTACTCGGTGAAAAAGTCCAGGCGGAAAAAAAGCCGAAGGAAATCCAGGATGGTCCTCTACCCAGATAAGACCAAAAAATACCTCCCAGCAGAGGAGAAAAGCAAGGCCAAGCGCTGCCTCCTCTTGCTCATCGCCATCATCTTCTTCCAGATTCTCAATGCCATAGAGAACCTGGATGATAACCTCCAAAAATACGACCTGGACGGTTTGGAGAAAACCATGCACCGGGAAGTTTTCGGGCAGAAAGTCGCTGTGGAAAGCATTGTGGAATTGCTGAAAGACTACCTGGCCACCCACATCCACAACAAGCCTCTGGTGATCTCTCTGAATGGCCCAGCAGGGGTTGGGAAGAGCCACGTGGGCTGGCTGCTGGCCAAACATTTCCGTTCCGTCATGGACAATGACTTTGTGCTGCAGTACTTTGTGATGCATCACTGCCCCAGCGGCGTGGATCCCCTCACCTGTGAGATAGACCTGTCCCAGAAGATTTCTGACATGGTTACAAGGGCTGAGATCGAGGAGAAGACCCCACTGTTTATCCTGGATGAGGTTGAACTCATGTCCCCTGTCCTGCTGGACACCCTCAGCCGATTCTTCGAACCCAATCAAACCAACGAGTTCCTCAAYGCCATCTACATTTTAATTAGCAACCTGGGAGGTGCTGAAATCACCAAGTTCGTTATCCAGAACGCATCCACTGAGCTCCTGTATCAGCAGAGGGGAGCTGAGGAGCTGCTGAGCACCATCCAGCCAGTCCTGGCCAGCGTCCACCCTCTGTGGAAGGCTGCAGACATCATCCCCTTCATTCTCCTGGAGAAGTCTCACGTCATCAACTGCTTCCTGGAGCAGATGAGGAGGGAAGGGCTCTACCCCGACCAGAAGCACATTGAGAATTTGGCCAATCAGCTCAGTTACTACACTACAGGGGACAAGCAGTACTCCAGGATGGGCTGCAAGCAGGTTGTGGCCAAAGTCAACCTCCTGTAGTGATTTAGTGCAGAGACCGAGCCCTGGGGTTGCAAGGTTCTGTGCTCACGAGGAGTTTGTTACAGCAGGCAGTGCTCAAAGTGCCTTTTCTCAGCCCTGCACTGCCTCTGCCCTGGTCTAGGTAGAGGGATGGCAGCCTGGTCTGCACTCCTCCAGAGACTTCACTTTTTCAGATTTTCCTTGAATAAGGAGTGCAAGGAAGCCTGAGCCAGCTCCTGATAATTGCAAGATACTTTGTTYCTCACATTCCCATTTGGGATTCTTGTCGCTGAGGAGTTGTGAGATGGCATCAAAAGCTGCAGCATACAAACAGGAGGGTGAAACAACCCCTGGGCCCCTGCAGAAAATGTCACCTCCTGTATCTCACTCCTTCCAGGCTCACAGTCACCTGTCCTTTGCTGTTCTTGGTCCTGCTGCTGTGTGCAGAGCAGAGACCTGGCACTGGGACAATTTGTGCCTCCTGCTCCCCAAAACGTGCAGGCAATCAGAGCTCTGCCTTCTCCAGCTCCTACATGCCCCCCTCCTCCAGAGAACACTTCTTGGACCTGTTCCTGAGCTGCTGCTCCTCTGAGCTCATCCCTGACTCACCTTTGGCACCTGCAGTGAGATTTCTGCCCTGCAGGTGCGTTTTCACTCAACTTAGAGACTGCTCAGCTGCGCCAGATGGTGCAGAAATAACCTCAGGATTGTTTCAGGTCTGCTGGTGGCACCTCATCCTCAGAGCTCTTCTGCTTTTTGCCCCTTGGGACACRTCACCGTGGTCAGTCATTATCTAGAAAGCCCAAAGTAGCAGCTGATGTGTCTTAAGCAGCACACACTGGAAAAAGGCAGTTTGGGCTGATGGAGTGGGAATCCTGGGCTTGTTCCCAGTCTGGAGGCCAAGGAGAGGCTCTTTCCATGGAGTCCCAGGTGAGAGGTGGCTTGGGAGCAGCTGGGGAAGAGCACAGAGCCAAGCTTTGAGTCTGACCTGCAAACCCAGCAGGTATTTGGGACATTGTTCTTTCAGGTTGTGGTTTTGTACAAGGTTTCTAGAAGTTGCTGTGAATTCCCAGACAATAAACCCTGTTTGTAGCTGGATGTTTGCACTGCAGGTTTCATTCTCCTCTTTCTGATGTTTGATCTCCAAAGACTCTGTCACACACTCCTGCTTCCAGAGCTACTRTCAGGAATAAACCCAAACAATCCTGAATAAAATAATTCAAAGTRCATTTCTTTCATTTGACTGAAATGTGGATTTCGTCCCAAATTTCCCTTCTGGAGCCGTGTGGCTGCACTGCTGTGCCTGTTCTTCTCGGTGCCTTGGCTTTGGAGCAAGGCTGCAGCTTTGTGGGGTGGTTTTTGCAGAGCCCCTTGATGCAGGGTGGGTGCAGCTGCTCCAGGTGTGCTCCTGGTGAGCCCAACCCCAACTGTATGGCTCCTCCATCTGAGCCACCTCCTGAATTCAAAGTGTCCTCAAAACCCAACCTATGGGAGCTGGTCTCCACAGTTTGGAGAGACTTTACTGCTCAGACATTTGGGATGCTTATATCCTGGGTGAGAAACAACTCAGGGGCCAGGATTCCCAGTGGGAGAGGGGCAGGTGTTGGTTCTGAATGTTTCAACCATTTCTTTTGTTTATAAATACCCACCCATGGTTGTACCAGGGGTCCCTGGGGTTCTCCACACCACCTATCACCCTGTGAAAAGGGGAGGGGGACTTGGAGTGGAGCTGAGCTTGTATGCGCACCCCTAAATCAGGGCTCCCAGCCCTTCCCAAACCTGGGGTGCACTGAGGCATCAGCCCACAGCTCTGTGCCCACCAGGAGCTGTGCTGGTGGCTCGGGGCTCACCCTCAGCAGCTCAGCACCCCTGGGTGCAGCAGCACAGGGCCCCCTGTGCCTCCATTCCTGCGGGACAGGAACCGCATTCCCAGCACGGGGAGACCTCGGAGGAGCAGCGGTGTCACCTCCAGCAGCCTCCTGACTGGAGTCACTCACCTGCAGTGAGAATTCATCCTTGCTGTAACAGCCTCACCTGAGTGTCCCAGGAGCCCATCCCACACGGATCCTGGGATCTCCCTGCACGGTGTGARGACACCAGAGCAGAGCTCTGTGACACAGAACAGCACCACCCCAGTCCTGCTGGGCTTCCCCTGGGCTACCCGAGTGCTGCTGGGGCTGCTCCCACTGCTCTGTGCCCATCCAGCAGGATTCTGTCCCCTCTCTGGTGCCTCTGGCTGTCCAAGGCCCACAGAGGATCCGTGGGGTTGGCCCAGGACACCTGAACAGAGATTGCAGAGAGATTCACATGAAGGCACCGCTGGCAGGGGGTGCAGGGGGCAGTGGTCCCATCCACCCACACACCAGCGACAGCTCCTTGTGCTCAGGGCAAGGAAAAGCTGCTGCCAGGCCCTACAAGGGATTTATTGCTCTTTCCAACTCCTGTGCTCATCACCAAACGGGTGAGGCGCCACCAGGAAAGTAAGTTTTGACCCCAGTGATGGTGGGGAAGATCAGAGCTGCAGCAGAGGAGAAAAGGGTGACGACAGCCCAGGAAAATTGGGGCTGTGATTCTCCCCAGGGGTCAGAGGGAAGGTCTGCCATGGCTTTTGAGACCGTGCAGTGATGGGGTGAGTCTTGGAAAGGTGGAGGGAGGATGATCACCCCCTCTGCTTGGGAAGGAAGAGGAGGCACAGCCAAATTCAGGAATGAATATGTAACCTGTGAGCATCCTGAGGAGACAAGACAAATGGCATCCGACGTTTTTTGAGAGAAGTTGTAGGTGTGTAATCTAATTTCCTCTGACAGAATATTCAGAGAATAGCAATTACAGTTACTGAGGTGAGCTGGAAGGAGTTTTCCAGACGTGGAGAAACGAAATATTCCATAAATGGTGGGAGAACAGGGTCAGACACTGAGACAGACTCGGTTTGTCTGCTCATGGAATCTGGAGAGGAAGGGGMGCTGAGAGGCACCCAAGCACTGCAGAAGCCAGGCTCGGGATGGAAATCATAAATCGGAGGAAAGGTCTGAAGGAAGGTGCTGGAGGAGGGTGGGAGTGAGCAAACGCACGTTCCAGGATGGGGAGGGTGACGGGCTGAAAGGAAAACAAGCCTGGGGGCACCGCAGCGCTCCCCTCCGCAGGAGGGATAACAGCCCGGGGCTCGCGAATGGCAAACATCCCGTTAAAATGTATAAATAGGTGTGCTGCATATGCACGGGGTGAAGTAATGCAGGGCTACGCACATGAGGCCATATTTGGGCACTTCTTGGGGAGGGAGGGAGGGAGGGGATCCTGTGCGTCCCCAGGATCCTGCCGGGAACGGGGAGCGCAGGAGGGCAGCGGGGCAGGGAGGTGATGGAGCCCGGGCACAAGTTTCAGGTGAAGCGTGATAAGAGGTTTCAAATATGCAAACCACGGGCAGGAAGGAGACGGCGGTGCCCGGTTCTCCCAACCTTCCTCGGGCAGGGCGAGAAGTTGGCTCCGGAGAGAGGAGTTTATGCAAAACTTCGGGGAAATTGCTGGAGCTGGGGAAGTGCAGCAGCACCGAACTGGATTGATTAGAGAGGCTGCAGAGCTGCTATCATTGACTGCAGGGACAGAGCAGGGTTTAGCCAGAGGCACAGGACTCTGCTCAGGGTCTCAGGAAGTCCCCCTTTGCCTGTTCTCTGTCCCACTCCGAGCTGCTCTCCCTGGCAGTGCTCAGCTGCTTAGAGATGACACCAATTTAACTCATTCCTCTAAAAAGGGTTTGTCTCAGATCCTAAAATACCTGCATTTATGTGGGAAGTTTCAGGCAGCTGCATCTGCACACTGTCAGCCCGGGGCGGTGGGGTGAGATCAGCGAGTSTCTGCCCAGGTGGATGGATTTCCACATGGGATGGGTTAGAGGGACATGGGAAGCAGCCAGCACTGAAACTGGAGTGTGCAGAAAAGTTAATGATGTAATAAAGGAATCTGGAAATCTGGAACCTCATTTTCTTCCCCTCCATGCTTTCCCCACATCARCTCTGTTTATCAATATATGTATTAGGCATTATTTTAGGGTCTGTATCTACAGCTACCCCTGGGGATTTGTAGCCATCCCCAGAAGTGCCTGCAGAAGGGACAGCCCTCCCCAGCACATTTTGCATTCTCCAGTGACAGACGTGGAGCTACTGCTCTGTCCCAGTCTCCCTGGGCAGTGTGGGGTGTGACATCAACCCCTGCTCCTCCTTCAGCTGCGGAGGTCACAGCACAGAGCCACTCACAATACTCACAAACAGTCCAGAATCTTCGGGGGATGCTCATTTGAGTTTTGGGCTTCCCGTGATGCCTTAGTTGATCCCTCAGGCCGGGATTTAGCTGCTCTAATTTTGGTAACTTGAGGAAGTCTGAGTAAGTCTGCCTGGGATTTCCCCACCCATTGTTGCCTCCTGCAAAGAGCCTACCCAGGAACCCAGGCCTGGGAAAAACCTCCTGGAAAACCTTGCCTGAGCCTCAGCTGGTGCTTTGGGCTCCCTTTTCCTCAGGGATGTGCCTAGAGGGAATTCTGTGTTTTTCCCATCTCCCAGCCTTGYTGGTCCAGCCTGGGGCACCTCTCCAGACCCTCACAGCTTCTGTTAACTTCCAGCATCAGCTCCAACTTCCCCAGATGGACAGAAACAGTCTGGAGGAGCCCATCCCTCACCAGATTCTGGCACCTGGGCCCTGTGAGGTGAGTGGACRTTTTTGTGGCCAGCAAGTGATCTGTGAAGGAATGCAAAGCATTAATTGCAGCCAAACTCCCTGTTTTCACCTGAACCTTTGCCCCTCCTCTGTTCCTGTCTGCATGTGCCCCACCAGCCAAATGCTCTCACTCATACCAGACCCATGTGGTATCTTGCCTATCCTCCTGAGGGGAAAAAAAAAATCTAAAAAAAAGAAACAAAATCCTGAAGAAACATATTCTCRGAATTTTTTTGTTTCCTTTTAACCCTTCAGAGCCACCCAACATGGTTTGTGTGCAGCAGCAGTTGCAGCCATGCCCAGCTTCTAGATTTTCCGGAGCTGTGACTGCAGGAGTGTGTGCCCTCTTGGCTGGCACAGCCTGGGGTTTCTGTCCTGCAATTTTCCTGACATATCCAGCAAACTGCCCAGCTCTCCCTGAGGTGAATTCATGCACTCCCCTCCTGGGATCAAGGTCTCTGAATCACGGACTTGCTCTGCCTTCACTGATGTCCTGCATCCCCCTGGGTGCTGTGGGGATCTTGGAAAATCAGTCCTGGGCTTTTCCTTCTGTGATAAGCTGATCCTTGGCTTCAAGGCTGTCCCTTCTGTCTCYGAGTGAAGAAGGGCCCCAGCCTTTCCGGGTGATGGAATGAGCGTTTCTGCCCCTCCCTGCGGATCCCYGCAGCGCAAACTGCACAAACAGCGCTGGAGGCCCGGGTGGCTCGAGGTCAGAACACGATGCTGAGTGTTGCAAAGCATTTCAGCCTGACGTGACCTGGTGTCCTCAGCTCTGTCTGTGCTGTGGCTGCCATCACCTCCAGCTGCAAAAGCTGCTCCTTGATGCACTCTTCTGCCAAACACGCAGTACCTCCAGCTCTGAGCACTGCTCCTGGTGCATCCACAGCTCAGTTTTTGCCTTTGGTGGTCAGTGAAATGCTCTGAAGTCCCTGGGTTAGAAAGGGTGCATGAAATTAAATTGGTTTTGATCAAAAATACMAGCTCAGCAGAAATTTTTCCTCCTTGCACCTGGTGTGCAGAAAATTTGCTGCTTGCAGTGCTGATTCATTTCCTCACTTGAGGAGGATCCAGTGACCTGCTTGGACAAGCTCACCTGGGAGTTATAAATATATCCCTGTGTAACACTGGCATGGCAATAATGGGTAAYGAGGATTGGAAAGGGGAGCAGGATTTGTCCCTACAGGTCCCCCCTCTTCCTGGGGCCCTTCTAAGGCTGGGTTCATACTCGCCTCACCAGCTGTGAGTTGGGCAATGCTGGGGAGATGGATTAGGGGCTGAGAGGGGGAACTTCACTGAAAATCTCTGTGTGATAAGCAGCAGGTGATCTCACCAATGCCTGAGCTGGAGCCAACCCCTGGGTGCCTGTGCATGGGGAGCTGCCTGGTGACTGCACCACAGTGACACAGCTCAGGTGATGGGACAGCTGGAAAAGGCTGAATTGAGCTGTCTCTCTCCTCACATATGATCCTGAATGAAATAAAGGTGACAGTTGAATGTAACACTGAATCTCTGGGTCTTGTCTTTAACATCCAC